CGTCTAGTTGTACTACCTTTCCAACCACGATGCAAAAGTCACGCACAGTGACCTCGTCTTGTAGGTAGAACGACCTGAAATCAGCTCCTGCTGAATTGATGTGCTTACCTGCACCAGCTGAAGCAGGTAGTCAGCCAGATCCGTATTCGATAGTCTCGCTTGTAGACCCTGTACTGCTATGTCGCGAACCAGAGGGTCCGCTACGCCTGTCGTGCGTCCTCCCGCCATTGCATAACCACCCCCGCTGCCATCTCCAAACGATCCCTCAGCGCCGGCGCCACCTGCAAGGCCTGCCACTCCCAACAGTTGGAGACAGGTTTCCACGGGTAGGGGTCGTGGCCAAACAGCAAGAAGGCGGTAGAACTCCTCCACCAACTCGCGTCTTTCCCAAGCCACAGCCTGCACCAGCCATGGTAAAGATTCTGCAGGATAAAGTCTGCGACAGCAAGAATCACGGATGCGCCAGAGAAGAGCCTTGTCCTGTTCTGATAATTCGTAGAAGGGGTCCCTGTGTATTAGTTCACGAAGCATACGCAGATCAGAGTCACTGGACTGGAGTGAAGGGACGATGGCAGCAGTAGGCTTTGAAGGGGAGGCGCCACTCACAGTCGTGATAAAACGGGAGATGGGAAAGCGGATGCGGGTCGCATGGCTGCTAGGGTGGCAGAAATCCACCTGAAGAGGTAGAGAATGAAAATGAAGTGCGCAAATAGTAACGCGATTTTTAAATTTGCGCAATGCAATGAGTGAAGATGTACAATTTATTAAAAATTTTGCGCTTCATGTCTGGCAAGGCAAAAGTGGTAGCGATAAGGCGCACCTACCACAAGAGTGAACTCGGGATCGGGATTCTCAGCTACAGTGCCAGCGAGGTTAAGCTGATGGGTGGTTTCCGTCTCTGGTGAGGTGAAACTGCTCCGCCAAAGGGGAAGCGAACGTCGACCAGTCACAAGATAGCCCCTTTCGTCAAAGAGGTTCATGTTTGCCCAGCCCACCGGGAACTCCATCTGTCAAGGGATAGAATAGAGAGCAGTGTACGAGCACTACAAATAACAACTTCATCAATTTGCGGAAATTCATTCTATCGTGTGCTCATCTACTTGCACCAATACATTAAATATGAAACATCACCTGGTTTCTCCCAACCCCACATTGCACGCTCTTGTGTAAATGCCGACATTCACACTCAGAATACTATTTAATAAAAATAGTGGAAGTTCTGTGTACAATCACAGCCTCGTAAAAAAAGTGCGTCTAGTGTCCGACAGCGTAATAAGCCAACTGTTACAAAATATTTGAGGTCTTACAATCTAATATGCAGCTAAACGGAGATTTCAGACACCAGACAGAGACGCAAATCCTACATTTAGAACCTCAATACTCGAATAACCCTTCAACTGCAGTTTCAAGGACCTAATTTAAACGCGATCGCATTTGTAGAAGTATAGATCCGACAAGCATTGAAGTCCTCGCGAAGAAGGAGACCGGAAGTAGCCATTGTGCCAAGTAACGGTTACAGCCTTAGTCACATCCAATTCAAAACGAAACGTATTTTTGGCCATCAATGTCTTCTATTTCGGCATCTTTTACCAGACTTGAACACTAATTATTCGTAACGATAAATACAAAGGTCATCAAAAGTGGACCAGGATCTTAGGTTATGCAATTGGAGAAAGGTAAGCTACCCAGGGTGATAAGTAGGAATGCATTAGCTAAAGCACATCAATGAGAGTGGTCGTAGAGCAGACTTTGGCCAAATGACTTAGTCAAAATGTAAGGTCTGGTTAAATTCTGTAAAAAGATGTATTTTGCAGTTTGATGTCCCTTGTTTGCAAGCATGCATGCATGACAGACTCACGATTCGACCAGGACGTCGTTTCACCTGGAGCAGCACAACGCACACCCTCGTAGCGAGTGGTAGGTTTGAGTAGGTAAGGCGGAAGTTAAGCGATTGGTTCCACTGGAGGGCTGAATTGCTACCCATCACGACTGCTGCACCTCGTGTGTTCTAATAAAAAGCAAAACAGACATGAAAATGGAATTCACAGCCTCATAGTAATGCAACTGCGATGAGGAGATGGCATATACTGATGACAAGTGATCACCCTGTGAAAAGAAGGGAAGCAGCACCGTGGATGACTACTGAGTGATCCAATGGCTAAGGTAGCAATAATTAAAAGTAGGATGACCGAAGAAAATGCAAAATGTATTGACCAATTGTTCAGATGAGAGGAGAGGATGTCAATCTTAGTCGCAATGG